GAATTTCTTGAAATTTTTTTTGCTGGGAAGTGACGAAGGAATGGGAAGCAGATGAGTGAGGTTTTGGTCACTGATAAGCTCATAATTAAGGGAATTCTGTCCGTGAAAAAACCTGTTGCTGGTGCAGAGTTTTCAGTGTTTCTCAGGTTCACCTATACATTAAGTACAGGAGGCAAAAAAGCCAAAAACCCTTCAGTATTTTTTTTTTGAGAACTGGAGGTACTCGAAAGTTGCCAAGGTAGCAACAAGTGCCAACTCTAACAACCTACTTAGCAAGGCTATTGACGACTCTGTCTTTTAGGAGTTGTTTAGAAGCATGCTGATGGCAGTTTTGGTTCCCTGGCATGTACTCGTACGAAAATACCATCGAAACGGATGAACGAGTTATAGAGGGGCTGTTTGCCTAATTGGCGAAATTTGACCCTTCCCCACGGACGCTTATAGCTTTATTTTTTCTTTATTTTTTCCAATTATGTAACTTCGTTATCAACACTTTTTTCCTGTTTAGTCACATTTAAGGTGCTGTCTTTGAAAAAGAAGGAAAAAAAAAAAACGTAGAATTGATGGCAACGCTTGACATAAAAAAAGGAGGAAGGAACATTTGTCCTTATTTTAGCTACATTGCCGTTTTCCATTTTTGATTTGGATTTTATTTTTGATTGTTGGTTTTTTGTATTTTTTGTTTCAGGCCAACAAATGAAAGTTATAAACTGGTACGAGCAAATCCTGGTACCATGCGCAGAACTCACAAAGGTATGTCACTGTACCCTCGGCGAAAGAAGCGACAATTCGATGAAATTGACAGAATTTCGGAGCTTCGCCGTATGCGTTTGCGGAATAGATTCTCGGAACTGGAACGAGATACGGTAAGCTTACCTGACTGCTTATTTTACTACAGAAACAATGCAGATGGAGAAATATAGCATACCTTTCATTTTTCCTCAAAAAAAAAGTGAAAACAAGGCCGCCACTTTTATTCTTCCCAGTGATGTAGCTGTCAACTTCATTTTCCTCTTCGCGGAGTCTTTTTCATCCGCATTGTCCTTTATGAGAGGGAGTTCGAGTTCAAGCGGATTTTTTTGCCGCATTGATCCACTCCTCCTATGTTCTTTTAGCACCATGTTATTAAAGGTTCGGGCATAAAAGTATTTAATTGTATTTTTTTCAGCTGATTCTCATCCGAGCTGTAAGCTTCTTTTTGAATCCAATGTATCGTTTCTGGCTGGAGCCAGCTGTACTTCGTGATGTTATGCATGAGCATGTTCAGGTATTTCCTTTTTTTTGCTCGATTATTTTGTGATTTAAGCAAAAAATGAAATGGGCAAGGAAAAGTTCAACAATTTTCATCCGATTAAATTCCTAGTTGGTAAGTTGAACGCCTTTTATGGTCCCGAAGTAGCATTTTTCGGAACGAGATGGTACTGCTTAACTCTCTCCAAAGACAACTCAAAACGGCTAGAACTTTGCTAGATGCTTTTGTTAGAAGAACCAGTGAGTTGGTAAACCCTTCAAGAAACAAAGCAAAATTAACAGTGTCAGCAACTTGACCATCAGGCTATGTAGCATCTGGCTACAGTGATTGGGAGAGTCACTGTTTGCATTACGTTGTGATTTGATGGCTATCCAATTATCCCATTTATCTGGCCAGATCTCATCCATTTCTAACAGAGTGCTAACGAATCCAGTGTAGCTCGATGGTAGAAAATTTGATACGGTTTCAGGACTTTTTCGGAGGAGGTGAGAGTGGAGGGCTGCTGTTGAGAAAAGTTCTTAAAAGGCATAAACCTTTTTTGCAGTAACTGAAAGCGCAACCGAAGTAATAGAAATTATTATTGAAAACAAGCAAAATAAAAATTCCTATGGCCAATAATTTAAAGTGCTACCTAGGCGGAGGAAGACTAGATTTAAATTCGCATTATTTTGCGTGCGCAAGGGACATCCCCGTAAAATTTCAGCTTCCTAGCTTTCGTGGTCCCTGAGGTAGTAATTTTTCCCGCCAAAATTTTCGCACAAATAATAATTCCGCTATGAACATTCTTCTGGTGTGAACATATAAACCTCACTATGGATCTTCAGACTCAGATCTTTCCCCTTCTGCTCCTTCCCTTCCCTCTTTCTCGCCTCCCTAGAAATGATTTTTTTGTCTCCTTGTTTCAATAGCAATAATTCAGGAAGCACGTTCAAAAACTGTGCAGAGTCTAATGGCAGCTGGTGTACGTGAAGTGAAGCGTGCAGACAGAATTGCATACCTTCAACGTATTGTCAGAACACTGAATTCGTTCAAGGTTGGTCCGAGTAAAACGACTTTTGAAAAGGAAATGTATCTGTCTCAGCTTTTGACATGCTTGTTATACCTGCAAATGAGGTCTACGTCACACCCAGGCTAACTGGCTTAATACTGTTGTTGGGAAAAATCAGTCGTACGAGAAATCGAGGATGCGTTTCGATGGAAAATTGGTACTGACATATGCCAAAAAGTCAAATCCATCATCAGAAGCAAACTGACGATGGATGGAGGGGATCATCGATAGCCTTGTCAGCAGGTGATTGCTGTTGGCATGTACTTCTCTCGGGCACTTCCTGAGTGTCTCTGCTTCTCATCGAGAATGGCTACGGAAAGGGTTTTGACTTTTGACTTTGATGTTTTTTTTTATTTTTCAGGAAATGCGATTATTGCGCAGACAGCTTGCACTCAACCCTCTTACTGATGCAAATATGAAGAGGAAGTTTTTCATTGAAGCTTTCAACAAAGCGAAACAACTCCTATTCATGTTAGATTTTCATTAATTTCATCATTTGTTTCGGTTATAAGGCAAAGAATGACCCCTTGTTCGGTTTTGAGGAAACGATTGGGTTCCGAAGGCAAACGTTTGTTAGGATTAATAAATAACCACATAGCCGTCTTCTATTATGATGCTAGGATTCGTCGTTTTTGGTAACTTATGTATATTTAACTAATCTTGTTCTGCAGATTAGATCTTGTTCTGATCTTGCTCTGCAGATTATAGCTCAATTTCAAAGGGGCAGTTTTTGGGTATTTCCCACTAAATCACAGCACCAACATTCAGTCTTCACCAGTTGAACGAAAAATTTAAAAAAAAAAAATGAATTTCGTTATAATAATATTCATCAAAAAGCTTAAACACTTGAAGCTGCCAACCATATTTCATTCTTTACATGAGGCACTGTCAATCAGAAGTGATCCGAAGAGCAGCACTATGCCTATAGTAGTCACTTCAAAATAGAGCCTTTTTTTTTATTTTTTTTTTTTTAAATGGAACATTAAAATGCCTTAAAATGGGTATTTTTATTAAAATGGAACATTTT